GCACTCCTACTTCCACCAATGCCACCGCCAATCTCATTATCATCGCTGTCCCAGCCAATATCACTGTCACCCCCACCAATGCCACGGCCACTCCCCCAATGCTACCGCTGTCACCATTGCCTCCATAAATGTCACCATCGCCCCGGCCAATACTACCGCCACCCTCACTAACGCCACTTTCGCCCGCGGCAAGGCCAGGCGCTCCGTCCTCAGCGCCCCCAACCGAACCCATCTCTTTCCCCGCCAATGCCACCAATGCCTCCGGCCCCTAATGCCACCACCCCCACCAATGCCATCACCTCCAAAAATGTCACCACACCCACCAATTCCACATCCCCTTCCAATACCACCGCCTTCACCAACACCACCTCCAACCTTGCCAATGTCATCGCCCCCACAGTCGCCGCCACCTTCGCTCCACGAACCCAACGCTACCACCATCACCCCTAACAATCCCACTGCTGTACGCCCTAAAGTCACCATCGCCGCGAGCGGTTCGATGTAGTCGACGACGACAGCGTGAACACCGGCGAGGGTGGGTAATATGCGGCGAGATAGCGGGTTGACGGGGTGGCGGAACTGCAGCGTGGAAGTGTCACGATACGACGGCGGGAGCGGGATGGGGAAGGGCGGGAATGGCGGTGGGAGTGGGAGGGGGAGTTAAGCCCGAAGCGGCGAGATTGGCGGCGGTTGCGGTGGCAGGTCAGTAGGTGGGAGTGCCGGTGAGGCGGGCGGTGGGAGCAGGAATAGAGTGAGGGGTCGGGCGCCGGCGGGGGAGGGAACTCCGGCGGAGGCGTGGCATTTGCGGGCGAGCCAGCATCTCTCTCCGCCACGCCACGCTCCGCCCGGCCAAGACCCGCGCGCAAATCGTCGCCGGTCGCGGCGTCGAGGAGATAATCGCAGCGCTTGCGGAGCGACCGGAGGCGTCGGGGCACCTGCGGGTGGCAGCGGGAGGCAGCGGGAGGCGAAAGGGTGGTCGCCGCTCAGAGTGCAGACGAGAAGTGCGAGAGGAGACCCACAGCGAAACACATTTTGTGGGGGACTTGAATTTCTGGGCGGAGTACCCGTGACCGAAATGTGTACTAGGGTTCGCCTGTAGATGATTGCAAATAACCAGACTCGCGGATTTATTAACATAGAACAAATAAGGGTAAAGCATACGACAAATCTGAATACAAAATTTATACAATCGTTAAATTCAAGCGGATTCTAAAACCATCTATTCTTAAGAAAATATCCCCTTAAATCTAATCGCAATGTGTAGTTAATCTTTAAAATATCCCATCCCCTAGCGTATTTTTGAACAAAATATGTTGTTTATTTCCTTTAAAAAAGGAGGGAATATCAGATCCTTCTTAACAATTCATTTTACCACTGCAAATGTTTCGTAGGTTCAGGTTTCAATTCATAAACAGCTCCATAAAAAAGTCAAATAAATCCTGCCTTGATACCCTGTTCCAGCTGCTCCTTTTGTGCCTAGGGGAAGTGTATAAATTCTTCTCCCATTGGTTTCATTCTGCAATTCCAAATCATAAGCAGCACTGACAGCAATGAGTAAATCATGTTTCCCGTGACCCACATACACAGGCGTCTGACGACTCTCCGTGTCCATCTGTCGCCTCTCCGGAGGTCGCAGTTGTCCGAGGGCGCGAGTACCACAGCCCCGCCCACACGACGGGGAAGGGCGGCGGTGAGCGGTGTCGGCCGGAGGCCGGAGGGAATGTGACAGCAGTGTCGGCAAGGGGGGAGGGGCAGCACTTATCCGGCCGTATCCGCTACCCCCATTCCGTTTCGCCCCTAGAACCCTCACAGTGCTGTCCTGATTTCGCCGCGCCACCATCCTTCCTTCATCTCGTTCCCATCCAGCCCTTCACCCTCTCCCTTTCCCTTTCTGCTCCTTTTCTTTGCCTCCCAATCGCGCTCCACCCCACCCCCCACCTTCTCTTGCCACACCAGCTCCACCTTCCTCTCCGCCTCTGCCCTCCCCACTATTCCTTACGTTCCGCATCTGCTCTACCGCCTCTCCATCTCTTCTCCGTCTCTTCCCCCCTCCGCCCCCCTGCTCCGCTTCTTCTTCGCCTCTTCTTCTACTCTTCCCCGCCTCTTCCATCTTTATCTTCCCCGCCTCCACTACACCTACGCCATTCCCCTCCCGCCTTCCG